ATTTTTTTTGGAGAGGCCTGAAAAATCAGGAGACCAAGATGGGGGGACCCTGAGCTATCAGGGTGCCTCTAAACGAATCTGAGGCCCTGTGTTGTACCCTCTACAGTATTTTTCAGTAATGCATACCAAGCCTACAATTATGTAACATATATAATTTAACATACTTGAGCAAGGATCTTTGCTGGAATGGTAGACTTAGCGGAAGTCTTAAAACTTGTAAATGTTGACCATAATTTACTGAAGAACAAGTTGATGATTGAAGTCATACAAGCTACTTTTATATCTGCTAGAGGTAGCTGTTCGGTAATGTATCTGTTCAAAACTACTTGCGCTATGCGCTCTAATCGCTACTGAAAGGGGCGCAACTGTTTGCATGACTGAAACGGCCTGCTGGCGTAATCATCCCGTATATAAGACCCACCGAAATAGTCAGCACATGGGTGGCATATGCGGGGGATAGCTTATGATATGGCGCATTTTTTAGAGTACCCGCTTTTATGGGTTTGCATTTTACATAACACCCTGCTCGTTTTTCTTGCCTTCAAACAGTATTTGGTCCTTCATTACCAAGGTCCGCTCAGCTGCAAAAAGCGAGCAGGATGAAATTCGCGTCAGCTGCCATTCTCAGCACAAAGACGAGCAGAAAAATCAACACAAGTGGCAAAACGAAATCGAAATACAGCAAGTGTTGAGAGGATCTCGACCATCCATCTTGCAGTTGAACGACCTCGATCACGTCAGCAATGGTCGAGAATATCTCGAATGCTTTCCGAGGCACGGAACTGACTCTGTTCACAGCACTCATACGAGATTGGTCAAGGACACCTGGCACTACTGCTGGATCAATCTCCTACCGTTTTCAGAGGCACCGAACTGACCCTGTCGGGGTGTGCAATCTCTGTAGCAGATTCCTCGTTACCAAATGCTCGGTGAAGTTCTGGCCTCAGAGTGCCTGTTACAAACCCAAATTCATTTAGCATTTTATATAAGACATGGGCTTTATATTTTTCCAGCCTACTGTTAACACCCATACGTTTCTTTCATGAAATTTGTACGATACCCTAGGGTGCTATATACGGGGGAATATGGTATTTGCTGACATCATTTTACGGATGATAGGTACAGTGTAACTTGACAATATCTATCGGAACCAGGGCCTCAGATTCGTTTTGGGGCACGCTGATCGCTCAGGGTCCCCCCCCCCTTGCCTCACTGTTTTTTCAGGCCTCGCAAAGAAACTTATGCTGATCAATCAGGGTGTTGTAAAGATTTTGCGCTGAAAAAACAGAGTTACCTATAAAAAACACACTGTTCAACTACATGCCCATTATTACTATCTTTTTGAAAGACAAGGGTTTACATTCTAACATGGGCATACTAGGACCTACTTAAGCATCCTCCTCTGCCTGCATGCTGTCGTGGTCTATAGGGGAATCGTCCTCCTTCTCTTTCCCCTTCCTGCTCTTCTGGGCTCTGCTCTGTGGGGCAGTGCTGTAGGGCTTCCTCTTCTTGTAGGCTCTCCAGATGTCAATGATGGCATCCCAGTCCGGGTCGTAGTCTAGCAGGCTCATACACATAAAGTCTCCAAGGCGTGAGTCCTTCATGCTGCCCCGCAGCCAGCTCTTAATCACATTCTGGCGGGAAAACCCTCGTTCACATTCCACTGTGCTCAGGGGAAGAATTGTCGTAGCGCACCACAGCTTGACGAGATTGGGGAAGCTATCCTCCCAGTCTGGAGACTTCAGCTTGGTCGTCAAGCCAGTGTAGAAACCCTTGTCACCCTTTGGCAGGGCGGCAAGGACGGGGCAGAAATGGGGGATCTCCAGCACAGCCACTCGCTTGTTGATGCCTGCCAGTAGGGGAAGGGTAGGAGTGAGAACGAGGGGAGTATTAGTAAAATAGGGTAGAGCGGACCACATCAACAAATCGTGCAAGCCTCGGGGTTAAGGACAGGTGAGATACCTGGAAGAATTTCTTCGGCTTCCCCTGCATGGTAGAGGTCGACCATCATCCTTAACCACTCCAGACATTGGGCCTTCCGTGGAGCACTTTCCCACCCCTTCGGCCACTGGTCCGCACAGAACAGCATCGAACCACCCAGCTGCTTCAAATCCCCCAGCCGCTCGTCCAGGTTCTGCACCATGCCTTCGGCCAGCGCCATGCACGCCACGACACAATCGTCGTGCTTGCCCTCACCCGGGTAGCCATCCAATGGCTCCTCATGCAGGTCGAAGCTGAATCACTCGGGCGCCCAGCGGAGTCGACGCCCTCAACAGTGACGCTGCGCGTACCACCAGGACCGTGACGGGCAAGGAAGGCCATGAGCAGGTCGTTCGGGCCCCCGTTGAAGTCGTCGCCGCAGTCAACGTAGCGGCTTTCGAGGAGGGACGTCACGCAGGAGACCGGCGCGTGAATCGTTGATATGTCCAGCTGCTGGAAGGGGTTTGAGAATACAGGTAAGACAACAATGGTTCGTCAGTAGTGGTTTAGGAGCACCATATGACGAAACTTACCTCGCGGGTCTGGAAAGTCTTGTTGAGAATGTTCATCTGCTCAAGAACATCAGCAAGAAACATGAGCACAAACCAAAACCTATAGCTCGTGACAATCTTGTAAAGACGGTCGTCGGCAAACTCGGACAGCATGACGACAATGGCCGGCAAGACCTTCACCAGCCGTCGGATGGCCTCACCGCGTGAGAGCCATCTGACTTGGTGAATATCCTGCAGCTCCAAGCACGTCGATAGGAAGACGTCTTGGAGGTCGAGGAAGCGCTGGTGCCATGGTCCAGAGTGACCAAGGAAATCGGCCAGCTCCTTGATGACATTTTCGATGATCTTGAAGAACGGCATGTCCTCCGCTGCCGCCTTAGCTGCCAGCGCCTCTCTGCACATGGAAGAGAACACGGGGAGAAATCAAACAAACCAGCATGAGTGATAGCTAGTATTGTCCCGAATCACCATCTGTGCAAATGCCAAAAAAAAAACTTACCGGTGAGCGATGCAGTGACAAGAGACCAGGTGAGGAATACGCATCCGGAGTCGAGTCACCAGGCCGGCTTTCGAGCCCATCATCACCGCCGCCCCGTCTGTGCTGATGCCCCAGATGCGGCGGAGATCGACACCAATTGCTTGCAGGTGGGAGAGCAGCAGAGCGAGCAGAGAAGAGGCGTCCGCCTTGTCAACACTGAGCAGCGCCAGGTACTCGGTGACGACGCGGAGGTCCCGGATGAAAGTGCAAAAGACTATCATGTGCTTTCCTCTGCAACGGTCCGTGCTCTCGTCGAGGCTAAGTCCGATGAAAGGGCTTCGCAGGAGGTGCTCCAGCTGGGTGGTGTGCAGCCAGGTCGCGGTGGATTGCGTGAACTCCCTGAAACCATACCTGCGTTTAATAACATAAAAAATCTCGTCGTTAGTGGTTTATAAGGATCGAAGGTAAGAATATGAAGCTTAAAAATCTAATGGAATTTAGGGCTTACGAGTTCATGTACATCCCGTATCCGCCCTCGGGGAAGTTCTTGAACTTCCGCGAGGCAAGGTGGTTGGTGATCGTAACCCATGTGTCCATGGGTTCGTTGGTCTTGCAACAAGTGTACAGCAGGTCGAGAAGCGCGGTCACTCGCTCCCTCTCCAAATCCGCGGCGTGCGGGTTCTGATCGATTCGTGTCTGGGTAGTATCTTCCTGCAGCATAACGTTTTGCTTCCCGAACGCAAGGCGGTGCTTTCCGGTACCAGCGTGCCTGTTGAACGCCTATGTTTGTGCATATGTGATTCCTGGCCCACGACGACCAGTCCTTCCAGAGAGCCCTGCATGCTCCAGACAGATGGTACACTAAAAGGCAGGGCACCCATCGTTAGCTTTATACAAAACGAGCCAGGGAAACTGCTCCTGCCACCTCGACTTGTAACGGGAAAGAGCCTCAGCATAAAGCTCGGAAGGACTTAGAGACTTCCTGGAGGTTGAAGGTGTATCGTCTTCACACGGCTCTTCATCGTCATCAGCAGGTATCGACGCCGGCGGCTCGACAGTTCCCGGATTCGGCTTCGCGAACGGTAACTTGGCCTGGCGGTAGCGACCAAGGCGCTTGGAAGTAGTCGTCGCAGTAGCAGGGCGCTCGACGGCGGCTGGTACCGACGGACCGGGTCCAAGACTCTGCTCAGGAAGAACGACTACATCGGAAATTGAGTCGGCTACTTCCTTTCTTGCAGGTTCCTGTTCTCTAGGCGCAGCATCGGCTCTAATCGGGATGCGGGTGAGGCTAGACAGTGTCGAGAGGAGCAAGTCGAGCCCCGTGCACAGGTCTGCATGAGGAATGCTACCGTCATCGCCTTTTGGATCACCGTCGCTAGGTGCTACCATCGCGTGATGGCAAAGGTAAGAAAATCAGTCACAACCGTGGAGGAGAAATGGAATGACGAGGGTGGAAGCACTCGACTTGAATGATGCAGCAGGTGTGGCAGCACAGCATCGATTGAAGAGATAGATGAAGATGATGGGGTCTCTTGAGGTTTGTGGAGGGCACGCGGCTCGCAACAGAGTTCTGCATGCATGGATGTGGTTCACGAAGCGGGTGGGTAGTGGTCTACTGCCGTGCTGGTGGGCCAACTGTCTAACATTGTACCTGGTCTATTGGCTGCTGTGGCTGTAATTTGGCAATGAGCCAATCCAAACCCTGCAGCTGCGCTCTGCTGGAGACAGCAGTGGCTGGCTACTTTCGAACAGCCAATGAGACCCCGCCGAGCACTATGTGCTGGAGGAAAATTGGCCGAATATTCTCCAGCGGGGCTGGAATCTGGTCGGTCACACTCGAGTCGGCGTGATTGACGGGGAGGGTGGGGGGGGATTCACGGAAATCATGGGGTGGGGGAGTTGGGGCTGGGAATGCGCTATTAGAAGAATCAGGGTCCGGCTCCGATACGACGCTGGAAAAACAGGCCACACTACACTAGGCACGCTGATCGATCAGAGTTCACTCTAAAAAAAAACCCTGAAATTTCAGGCCTCTGTTTAAAAAAAATCCTGTCTCATCAGGGTCACCCCCCATAAGAGCCCTGATTTTACCCTGAATCAGGGTAAAAAGCATGCAATCTGAGGCCCTGATCGGAACTACTTGCACAAATGCTGAAGTACGATTCTATCACAACACATTAGAGGTACAGTACATCCATGTACAGCGGAACAAGCTTGCACACATTATAGAGTGACAGCAAGAATGTTATGGCATTGATCCACGGCCCAAGGACAGGTTACTGGTAACACTGGTGCAGCACTTATCGCCCTCACACGGGTTTTGCTTGTTGAAGGGAGCACGGCACGCCATAGCACACAGGAGCAAGGCCAATCAGATGCCGCAGCCTGCACACGCTCCTAGCTTCCGCCACCGTCCCTCCCACACACACGCACTTGCACGGCGGCAGCACCAACACAGACCCTTCCTTCTCCCCACCTTCCCTCTCCTCCTCACACAACTCCACCTCACGCTCACACACCCCACACCCACGCATACCCCCTTTCCCCATGCCACCCCCACTCCCCACCACCCCAGACTTCCCCACCCAGCTCTCCAGCACCCGCTGCGAGTACCTGTCAATATCCCCGTCCGTCACATCCCACAGATTCCCCACTACAGCGGGGCAGCCCGCAGCGAGGTAGCTGAGGGGCACGCCCAGGGGCTCGTAGTCTCCGCGTGGGGACAGGTGGGCGCTGCTGCAACCCATGAGGAGGGAGAGCGCGCAGCGAGAGAGCTTCTTGAGGTACGAGCGGTGCAGGTACTGCTCGCCTGGTGGGGGGGAGGGGAGGAGGAGAAGAATGATTCGCATGTGAAGGAATGCGCCAAACTAAATAGGGGTTTGTTAGGGAAGCGGGGTTCCATCAGAAAGATTGTGTGAAAGAGAAGGCAAGGCAGCAGCGCACTCTAGAGGCAGGGGCAGAAGCACCGAGGGCAAGGGGGCTCAGGAACAAAAGAGCGCGCTAACAGGATCACCATGGCAACATGGCAAGAGGGCGTACCGCTGCCATGGCCGCAGTAGACAAAGAGGCTGTAGTGCTCCAGTGCCTTCATAAACTCCTCCACTGACGGCGGATCACACACCTTGCCCTGCATGGACCACAGCCCGGGTGTTCCGCAGCGACAAGACAACCCATCGTAAGAATAAGAGGAAACAAGCAGGAGTGTGAATGTACAAATCCACAGAAAAACACATGCACTCTCGCAGATGCGCGCACGCACACACCTTCCAGGTGGGCTGTTTCTTGAACCACGCCTCAAACGTGCCCTGAGTGGACTTGAGGTCGCCAGACGGGTTGAGCAGGTAGAACGTGCTCTTAGCGTCCACACATACTTGCACCTGCCCATCTGCGTCCCGCCCCTCCTTCCCACAGCCTCCCACCACTCCACCCTGCTTCCTGTCCCCTCTGCTCCTCCCCTTGTGCGTCTGCTGGTGCTTAGCAGGCAGAGCAGCAGGGCTCAGGCTTAGGAGCTGCTGCTGGTGGTGCTGGTGGTGGGCGAGGAGGGAGAGCAGGGAGGCGAAGGATGGCAGGCGGTAGATGCGCTGCTGGGCCAGACAGGGCAGCCCCTCCCATGGCATGGCCTGCAGGTACGGAGGCAGCAGCAGGAGTGGGGAGAGGGGAAGGGGAGCTGGTGAGATTTAGAGCGTGCTGGTTTTCTCCGCACTGCACTGCAAGGCGACATGCAAGAATCCAAGCTTCGTTGCACAGCATGAGTGAGAGTGAAAGGCAGATGGGTTGTTTGCACGTGATTCCTTTCTTTAAACATGCCTCACTCACCTGTATGGCACTGTCGAGAATCAGTTGCACCGGCTGCCACTGCACCATCCCCTTCCCTTCCCCCCCTTCATTGCTCTTCTCTCCTCCCTTCTTCGAACCTCTCCCCCCATTCCCACCACAAGCACGCCTCACAGTGGCACCACCAGCACCAGAAGCACCAGCAGCACACCTTCCCTGAGCTCCACCTGCAGAAACAACTGCTGCTGCTCCCTGGAGCGCCCTGTCAACGATCTGTCTCATCTCCTCACCCTGGGCCTTCACAGCTGCAGCCGCTCTCCCACACATGAGCCCTCCCCCAATTCCCACCACCAGCATCGCAGATAGTGCCTGGTGAGCAGCTGCTGTGAGCTCGTCCAGGGAAAAGGACACTGGAGGAGGGTCAGCAGAGGTAGCTGCAGAGGCGGCTGATGAGGTAGCAGCCGCAGCAGCAGCAGCAGCGGCTGTGGTAGGAGCTGTATGAGTTAGCCCAGCAGCAGAGGCAGTTTGGAAGAGCAGGTGAATGAGGAAGTCAGCACGGCGGTGCTGCAGGGACTGCTGTGTGGCGAACAGTGAACACACAGGGTCATTGCAGCTGCACCTGATAGACTCACTCGCACTCTTGCACCCCGCCGTCACACTCCTTCCTTCTCCACACCCACCAGCACTGGACGAAAGCCCAGCTACCAGAGCAAGATCTCGCCCTGCTGCCGACAACACAGCAGCCAGCGAATCACAATGACCAGCACCGGCATCACCAGAACCACCATCAGCAGCAGTGTCAGCAGCGGCAGCACCACCTTCCATGGGCTGTCCGAGCAGCAGGAACCTCCATGGCCCCAACAGCTGTGTCTCCGCGCCTCTCACCAAGGCCTGCAGGCGCTTATCCAGTGCCAGCCGCCACTTCCACCAAGCGGCCTTGCTCTCCTTCGACGCCGCACTGGCCCCCGCTGCCATGGACGCACAGCTCTCTGTCATTATCGCCTCAAACTCCCTCCTCACCTGCTGCATCGGCCCCTCAATCCACTGCACCTTCTGCGTCCGCCTCTCCTCCTCCCCCTCCCTCCCTCCGTCCTGCTGCCCCTCTGTTCCTGCTGCTAGGGATACACCTTCCCTCCCCCCAGCAATCACCCTCCCTGCTGCTGCTGTGGCTGCTGCAGCCACTGCTGCAGTAGCAGCTGCAGTCCTGTGGTGTGCTGTGGGGTCGTGCCGGGTAGGCCTGTCGCGGACACAGGAAGATTCAGACTCACAGGAGGAAGCAGCAGAGACGGGCGAGGAGTAGGGCGAGGAAGAACCCGATGCAATTTCATCCACCTGCGTGCCCTTCTTCCCTCTTGCTAACTTCCCCTTCACTGCAGCTGCCTTCCCACCAGCCCTCTTCCCGCCCTCCTTTCCTCTCCCTGCAGCACCCGCAGCTCCCTTGCTCCCTGCCTTCCCTCTCCCTCGCCCTCTCCCTGCCTTCTTGCTCGGTCCATTAGCACTTCCCTGCCCTTCCTCCACACAGCTGTCCTCTCCTGCCTCCTCACACTCACTCCCACCTCCCACTTTGGTCTGCGCTGCCCCACCAGCAGCAGTGGCAACAGCCGTATCAGCGGTACCAGATGGAGCGTCAGCAGCAGTGCTAGGTACGAGCAGTAGCAGAGGGGGAGAACCAGCAGCAACGCGAGTCAGCAGCAAACAAGACGCCTCCTTCTTAGCTCTGCCATTCCCCACACTCTTGGACTTTGGCTGGCCCTGGAATGCAGGCAGCATGCCCCCATGGGCGTGTGGCGCGCCCTCAAGAGCACTCAGGTGGATCACAGGGAACGAGGGGGGGAGGCGGCTGATGTGCCGCTGGAAGGCGCGCAGGGAGGAGGCGAGGTGTAGCGGGTGAGGGCACATGGGTAGCCTGTGACGCACAGAGCATGGAGGAGGGAGGGGAGACATGGGTGATTAGCAGAGATGATGTTGGGTAGTAGATGAATGCCAGAAATCACAAAGCAGAATAATAGAAGAGTAGGCACGGGGCACGGGGCACAGGGCACAGGGCACAGGGCACAGGCACAGGGCACTGGGGAGTGATGCGGTCCTGTTGTTTCCAAACACATTCTCTTGAACATCCTGCAGGGCTCTCATCAGGCAAAGAGAGAGAAAAGTTGGGCAAATAACACAACGGGGTGGCTGGACGAAAGGGCATTGCGAGAACTAAGTGCCAGTAAGCATTTCTCTCAGCTGACCCACCTGAGTGCCTCCAGCATTTTCTCCTGCACCACAGGCCCAGGCTTAAAGCCCCCATCAGCCTCTTGGCCTTGTGCCTTCCCCTCGCCCTGCCTCCCCTGCTGCGACATGAGCTGTGCCATGTGCTGCATGCGGCTGGTGGCACCCACTGCAGCGGCGTGGAAGAGCGCACCCAGCAGAGCAGGGTCGCAGATACATGGTGGCAGTGCGCATGCTGATGAACCAGCAGCAGCAGCAGCAGAGTGGCGCATTTGAGGCGTCTCAGGGGCAGCAGGGTGGCATGTTGAGGAGCAGAGGGCACGGAGATGCGAGATGTGGTGCACGAGGGACAAGGGGTGCGATGGGTCGTGGTTGCGCTGGGTGGCGGTCAGAGGAGTGGCACAGGCAGTGGCAATGAGATGCGAGACCTGAAGGCGGGAAAGGAAAACAGAGGCGGAAGATGATTGTGTGAAGGTGCTAGACAAGTGGTGCACACATTGATGAGAAGGATACATAGTGCAGCAGGGTGCCGTGCCAGGAAAAGAAGAGGCCTGTACCATGTTGTACCACAGGAGGCATCAGCAGGGCAATAGAAGTAGACACACAGAAGACAGGAGTTAACGGCGAGAGAAATATTACCTTGCGGAAGAGAAGAGGAGCCTCGGAGGAAAGAGCAGCAGCATGCAGCAGCCAGTGCGTCACTGTGCCCACATTCAACCCCTCCCACCTCCCCACTCCCTCGTCTTGCCTCCCGTCCTGTCTGTGCAGCAGCAGCAGCGACAGCCGGGCCACATTCAGCAGCAGGGCAGCGCGAACCAGAGGACTGCTCGCCTGCTGCTGGCAGCACACCTGCACGTCCTGCACCCACCCTTGCTCCCCATGCTCCCCCTGCTCTTGCCGTTGCAGCTCTGACTGAGGGAGCCTCGTCTTTCCTACTGAAACCACTCCTTCAAACAAGGGCTCGCTACAGGGGCAGGAGGTGAGAGGCGGGGATGTGGCGGAGGGGAGTGAGCAGCAGGCCGTGAAATGGAGAGCTGGAGGGGCATGCAGCGAGGTGCTGCTGCTCCTGGCAACCACTGCTAGGGCCTTGCGGAGAAGATGGCCTGCCACGGACCAACTGCAAGCTTCCATGTGGCAGCGCGCTGTTGGTTCAGGGGGATGAAGAGCAGGTGAAGTGATTGAAGAGATTAAAACTGGAAGAGCCTTCTTGAACAGGGCACGCAGAGATAATTGGATGCATGGTATTGGAAATGAGACGTGCAATACACTAACCAGGGACCGCTCAGCAAGTACAACATTTCGTACAGAAAATGGAGGAAGTGTTCCAGCCCACCTTGTGAGAGCAGAGAAGCCACCAGTGCCTCCACAGCAGCAGCCATCCACCCTGCCTTCACCAGTTCATGCTCCTCCCCTGCACCAGCTGCTTCCTCCTGCAGCTGCCACCCTGCCCATCCCATACCCCACCACTCTCCATCACACTTCCCACCACCCGTCGCCCTCCTTTCATCAGCTCTCCAACTCCACTCCCGTCCAACGTTCACCCCTACTCCCCACCCCCTCCCGCTCTCACTCAATTCCACTCCTCCTTGTCTCCCATCCGCACCCCGTGCTATCTCCACGGGACTAAAAAACTCCTCCACTCCATCACTGCTGTCCTCCTCCTCCACCACCTGCCGCCTCCTCCCCCTCCTTGCTGACGCGAGCACGGATCGTTTCGGAAGGCGCTTTTGGCATGAACCAAACAAACCTGACATGTCATCTTCCTCCTCCTCATCCTCCTCCGTCTGTTTGTCCTGCTTCTTCTCTGCTTTCACCCCTGCCCTACGCCTGACACCACGTGCCACTGCTGCTGATGTCGCCACTGCTGCCGCTGCTGCTGGTGTCGCCACTGCTGCTGCCCTACGAGTTGTTGTCCTTCCAATCCTGACGATTGCAGGAGTCTTCTTACTGCTCACCTCGTTTTCATCACCTTTCTTTGCGTCACCATCGCTTTCATCACTGGAGCTCTCGTCACTCAGCAGCGACACCACCTCTATTGGAGCCTTGACCTTCCTCTGCCGGCCACCTGTTGGAGCAGCAGTAGTAACAGTGGAGAGTGAACTTCCACCCACATCCCCTACACTGGTAGTTGATGTTCGTTTCTTGACCTGTGCATTACCCCTCCTTCCTTGCCTTCGCCCCCCTGCTTTCGCTCCCGTCTCTTCAACCTCACTCCCCTCGGCTGCAGCCATCTTTTGCCTATGCCCTGCACCGGGCTTCACCTGCTGCGTTGCAGCATTCCCACGAGTTGGCTTCGACCCCGCATCCTCCTCTGCTCCACTCTTATCCCCGTCATCATCTGAATCAATCAGCTGAATAACATCCTCATCCTCCCTGTCTAAACCAGCAGCACTGTCCCCTGCCTCGCTAGATGCGGTATTGCGTCGCCCCCCACCTGTCCCACTTGCCCTGCTTCCTCTTCTCCCCACACCCATGGCTTTGCTGTGTGTGCTCATTCTTCTCCCCTCCGCGTCTTCTCCATTCCCCCTCTCACTCTCACTCCCACGTGCTTTCCCCTTTGCTTTCACCTTTCCTGGTAACTTCCTCTGACTCAACTTTCCAACCTCCCCAGCAGCGCCAACCTCCACTGATGCACTCTCATCTGCTGGCTTCTGCGCTTTAGACCCCCTTCGTCCAATTTTCGCATCCCCTTTCTTCGCCGTCTCAGCACCATCTGCAGTGATTCCATTCTCCTCCGGGAGCTCGCCCAACGCCTTCCTCCCTGGAGCTTTTGGTTTCTTCCCTTCCCTTCCCTTCCCTGCAGTCTTCTCCTCATCCTCCTCGCCTGCCGCATCATAGCCATCGACTGACTCTCCCTTCCCCGCAATCCCTCCTTCACCATCCTTCTCCATCGCATCGCACCCCTTCTCCTCTTGCGCTTCCACTTCAAACCTCATAAAAAGCTTGCACGGCAGCACATCACCCTTGTCCTCCTCTTCCGCCTCCCTTCCTCCCACACTTTCACTACCAAAACATCCACCCCTCTCCTCATCCCCCCCCTCCGCCACCTCGTCACTGGCGACCCATCCTTCCCCCATCAAGCCCTCCACCTGCCCTTCAAACTCCCGCCGCAACTCGCCATACCAAGGCACCAACTGCCCCACTACCCTCTCAGCCCTGCTATAGTACTCAACCGCTACCTCCCACCCGTCACCATCCCCACTCCCACCTCCACCATTCTTCCCTCGCTTTCCGCCCATGCCCTCTCCTCTCCTCGATGGTCTCACAGCAGAGCTTACCTCCTCCTCCTCTGTGTTCTCCTGCCCGCCCTTCACCCCTTGAGCCCCACAACCTTCCAGGTCGTCTCTGCGCCGAGCCAAGTCCCCAAGCCTCTGCTGCAGATTCGACTCAGCTATGGCAGCACAGCCTCGGCAGGTAGCCTTGGCGAGGGGGTGCGTGTGTGAGGGATGTGTGGGAGCAGCATGCAGCAGAGCAGCCGCGTGGGAGAGATGCTGCTGGGCCTTGTGCCAGTTCCTCCGCTTGCGGTTGAGATGGCCTAAAGTGGACAAAGAGAAGGGAGGCGGATGTTGGGTACAGATAAGTACGGTGATTTGGAACAAAGATAGTGTGATGAGATAAGAGCTGTCGGGAAAATGCCTAAGGAGATGCATTGCTGCCTAAATCAGGCACTTTAAAAAAACGAGCTGTGGCTGGTTCCATTCCATGTACCCACCGAGGGAGGAGGAGAAGAGGCCTTCGGCATGGGGGAGAGCGAGAGTGCGGGTGATGAGAAGGCCTTCTGTGAAGCGCCTTTCCGCCTCTTCCGACATGCCCAGCTGCTCAAACACGCTCCCCAGCTGAACAGCACAGGGAGGAAAAGGAAGAGAGCAGGACAGACGTGTTTAAGCACTCGGGGAGTCAAAGGCGATGGAGAACACGCAACGAGAAGACAAAAGAACACGTTGTGGAAACAACGGGGAGGGGAGAAGAATACACAAGAACGCTTGCTCGCGTTGCCAAGTCGACCACAACAGCAGGTTCAAAGTCCACTTAACTCTCCCCCTCCCACCCTCACCTGGTGCAAGCTATCCACATAGTCAGCCACGACCCTCCACGGGCTGGGAGAAGCACTGCTTTGCGTGCCCGCCTGCCGCTTAGCACCCCCACCAACCACCGCAGGCCACGTGTCCCGCGTTGCCTCATACGTCGCCACCAGATGCTCCCCCTCCTGCGGCCTGTGCTGAAGCCCAGGCACGTGCTTCTTTCCCCCCTGCTGCTGCTGCTGCTTCTGAGACTCCCCTTCAGCCCCACCTGCAGCAGTCATGGCAGTGGCTGTGGTGGTGGTGGCTGTGGTGGCAAAGGAGCCGTCCTGAGCCGTCACATATGTGATGAGGGAGGCATCGGAGGTGGCCGCAGTCAGAAAGGTTCCACTAGAGCCAGCACCAGCAGCTGCTCCAGCAGCGGCACCTTCTCTATCAGCAGCATAACCAGCTGCGGAAGCAGCAGGTGCAGCGGAGGTGGCCGCAGAGTGGGCAGGCATGGCCGCGTCAGTGGCTGCAGTGAGAGCATCACGGGAGGCTGGGGTGAAGACGTGGGAGAAGGCAGCAAGGCGCCACCTGTACGCCTCTGCGGCATGATGGAAGGCCTGGAAAGCAGGGGGGGGAATTGGAAAGAGAGACGACGGCAAAAACAGGACATGTGTCCTTGAGATGCGATGATTTGATGCACTGAAGGGGTATGGCGAAAGGGTGTGCAGGGCATAGCCCACAAATGGTTTCTCTGAGCCTTTCCTCCTACTCTTCCCTGCTCTCCCTTCCGCTTCTTCCCTTACGAACGGACTCCCTTGCCCCGCTTCCAACCCGCTCTCTCTCCCCCCTTATCTAAGCCAAACCACTCCTTACTTGTTTCCTTTTTGGTTCCAATTGAGCAGCCCAGGGCAAGCAGCTGACCTTGATTGCGTGACCGCGTGCCATGTGATGGTGCGCCAGCAGGAAGTGCAGCCCGCTCTGGAAGGCAATGATCCGAACCGTCTTGGGCTCCTGGCAGTGATGGTGGGATGGCATGGAATGGGACAGCGAAGGATGGTATGGATGGGATGAATGGATGCGTATGCGTGTGAAGGCATGGAAGGCAAGGGATATTCTACTTGAGGCCACATCTAGGCTGTGAACAAGCGGGGCTGTTGCAACATTCCAGAAATGCGAACCTAGCAGTCTTGCATCGACCACGCACCTCGTCGTTTAGACTCTTCAGCATGCTGCTCAGCCGTTGCTCCACTTGCTCCCCCTCACCACCTCCCACCTGCAACGCCACTGCTGCTTTCAGAATCGACCATTCCCCACTCCCTGGGCCCCACAGTTCCTCCCCCTTGTCCTCCTTTCCAGACCCCTTCCCTGTGCCGCCAAGATTGCCACCTTTGCCACTCGTGCCATGCAAGGCAGTTGCAACAGGCAGGTCAGAGGGCAGAGCAAGCGAGCAGAGCATGTGTGACAGCCGAGCATTTCCAAACAACTTATAGTAATGCTCTGCTCGGTCTTCCCTCTCAGCACTCTGCTGCTGCTGTGCAGTGTCAGCAGAGGCAGAGGCAGATGCATTGCACACTGAGGATGCCAGGCGTAGGGCCAGCTGGCGAGCCATGAGGTGGTGGGAGGATGCCTGGGGTGGAATAGCAGGCAGCAGCAGGAAAACATTGCCAAGGAGGCAGCATTGGGGCGATGGGGGCAAAACATGGGAGGAGACATGAACGACGCATACAGAAACTTGAGCGCACCAATTGAATATCAGCGATCACGAAGGACAAACAGCAGCGTTTGAAGCAACTGTTATGTTATGGTAGGTGATAAGCACTTCCAAGCTTTTACGTGAAGGCGAAGGACGAGAAGCTAGAGGACGGATTATGAGTACCTGGAGCGACAGAAGGTCCATCACTGACGTCAGCAGTTGGCTCTCAGAGGCTCGCGAAAGCAGGGAGGACGCTGGCCAAGGCGGTGGAGACAGCTGCAGTGCCATGCTCCAGAGCTTCAGCGCTCTGATGAGATCCTTCCATGCCGCCTGCTTGGATGATCAAGTGGCAAAAAATTCATAGAGAACGAATTGAACACAAGGGGATTGAGAGGAAATGACTCTCGCTCCTCCACGCAATACTCTCATTCCTACATCTTCAGCACATGGAACTCCTTCACACCCATCCCTCCCTCCCTGCACGATCTTGAACTGTCGAAGAGCAACCATACCTGGTTGCCTGGCAGCATCTCGTACGTGAACATGCCCCTCTGGCTGAGAGCAGCAGCGCAGCATCGCAGCACCTCCTGCACCTCGCGCACTCCCACTTCACCAGCCGCCATGCATGCGTTTCCAGCACCCCCCTTGCTGTCCTTCTGCTCCTTCTTCTCCCTGAGCCGCAGCCAGCTCGCAAGCAACGTGAGAGCGTCCTTTCCCTTGGAGTTGCCACACAGGGCGCTGCTTCTCTTCTGAAGCTCGACTTCCTGTGGAGGCACGGAGCCACATAGGGAAGGGGGGGAGGAGAAAGATGTGCGGAAAGGATCTGGAGTTTCCTAGGGTGGGAAACAAGGAAAAGGGACAAATCCGCAATCATCAGCAAGGTCGGGATGACAGGGGTGATGATTCCTCACACTCAGCAGACAACATTTTTGAATCAGCCATTCACGCACCATCAGGTCAATAGCACCATTCAGCCCGCCCCAAATCCGACTCTCCCTTGTGGAATCCCCGTCCGTCCCCGGCCCGTTCTCATGCACTGTTCCATTCCCTGCGCTATTGCCCGTAGCAGCAGAATCCGCAGCAGCAGAAGCAGCACTCCCCACAGGGGAGAGCAGGCGCAGGCAGCGGGTACGTTCCAGCATGGCGGCAGCGCGGTGCAGGGCCCACCGAGGGCTGTGTGCAAAGACGTGTGCTGTGAGGTGGTGAAGGACGGAGATGCGGGCTGCCAGGCAGCGCTGCTGCTGCTGTGCACACGGCTCGTACTCCTCATATGCTGACAGCTCCTACACAGGCAGTAGAGGAAGGGGGGCACCGGTGGTGGGGAGGGTGGGGCAGTGGCGCGACACATGGGATGGGATTTCTGAGTTGAGAGCATACTCCAAGACTACAGGTGAATACTATCCTCCGAACACATCATGAGATTGCCTCAAACTTGCAGTGGGGTAAATTTTCAACCAACTGAGCACTACCTGCATGATCAGCCCTTCCAGGGCTGCTGGGTCGCTGGTCATGCCCTTGATGGCGTGCAGAGGGACATGTGCCTTCCCCGCCTTCATCCTCGATGCTTGCACCTGCACTTGCGACGGACAGAAAGAGAGGTGACACGAACCATATGAACACTGGAAAACACGAGAGTGAGGTAAATCCGAAAGCATCACACAGACTAGCCCTGCAGCGGTCCTCTATTACGCCCATAACCACCAAGGAACCTATACTGAGACACACCAACATGCAGGAGCCACAGGCATTACCTTCCCCCACTGTTGCGCCAGCGCTGCAGGCCCGTCAAGCTGCCCATCACCCTCCTCCTTGCCCTCCTTCCCCACCCGCTCCGTCCCCCACCGCCTGAGCCCCTCCTCCAGCACCTGCTGTGCCTCCTCCAGCTGGCCTGCACGCCTCAGGGATTGAGCCAGCAGGTTGCAGCGCGCACACTGCTGTAGCACCTCCCTCGCCCACTCCTTTTCCTTCTCCTTCTCCTGCTGCTCTGGCTTGGGCTTGGCCGGTGACGCCTTGATGGCTGCAAATACGATTGAAAGCGGTTCTACGGCCTGGAGAAACGATGCGTGGGGCAGGTGGCATGGGGGATGTGTTAGATAAAGATAATGCACGAACCTGAGAGAATACAAAGACAAGGACAGGGGTGATGCATAGTCACTGAGAAAGCTGAGAGTAGAGACCACAGCACACAGACAAGAACTCTGATCGGAAGAAGTCACTTCGTCGGGAGACCAAGCCGGTGCAGTGTGCGTACCTCTGTATATCGATTGGCATTGTAGAAGTGCACACCCATGTTGTACACCACGCACTGCATCCACTCCCTGTCCCTCTCCTCCACCACCCCATTCTGCGGAACCACCAGCAGCCACCTCAGCTGCTGTGTTGCCGCACTCTGCCATGGCACAATCAAAAGGAGGCAAAAAGAAGGGAACTCGGTTCAGCGACTCATAGCAGTCAGCCAGACATAATTGGACAGGTATTCTCCAAAACAAGCGATTGCTAATCTACTTAGCGCATCCTTTCAGCATTGGTCCTTAATCCAGCCACCTCATGTGCTCGTTCTTACCTTCTCCGCATGGGGCGAGAGCAAGGCCAGGCGGTAGGCAGCGAGTGAGCCAGATGCAGCTGAGCGGAGCTGGCACAGGTACTGGAAGTCAGGGTCGGAAGCAGCCAGCCTGGGTGGAGAAACGGGAGCAGCAAACAGACACAGCTTGAGTCACAGCCAAAGAAAGCGCAGGAGGGGAGTGCAACCTCAAGAACAATGGCCCCAGGCAGAGAAACGATGATGGTTGCGATATCTTTTTGAGAAGAGTAACATACCAAACACCACACAGTTGAATTGATCTTTCAGTCAGGCGAGTTGCTCATCATTAAGCTCACTTTTGGAATGCTGCAGAAGCTGGCACCACACAGAGCAGCAGGTCTTGCAGTGACGCCCAGAGCCGCTGGGAACCCTTCCTTCTGGATGTCCCCCCTGCTGCTGCCTTCGCCTGGCGTGCCATCTCCTCTTGCCACTGCTGCTGCGCGAACGGTGTAACCACTAACTCCACACACTCCAGCACGTGGCACAGTGCTACCGCTCGCTCCTTCTCACTTCCCTCCTCCGAGTCTCGCTTCCCTCCATTCCCGTCTTTCCCCAACCCAGCCAGCTGCACTCTTACCCCTGCCACTGCCCCTTGGACTGCTCCCGCAATCTTCTCCGCCTCTTCCTCCCTGCTTTCTTCAGTTCTGCCGTTGACTCTATCGCTTCCCCCTTGTGGTGGCTTAGTATTGCTGGAAGACTCTCGGTTGATGGAGTAAGAGGTTGAGAGGTGCAGAGTGGCGCAGACTGCAGCCAAGATGCTAGCTAGGGCACTTCCTGACTGCAAGAGGGAAGAGGGATGGTAGGCACCAAGATAAACAGCTAACTGGGATGAGGAGACCAGACGAAGGGAAGGGGAGGGGAGGGGAGGGGACAAGGAAAGGGGAGTTAAGAACGCAGACGAAGTGCTTGATCTTACCTTGACATGTGAGAGCTGGTGCTGGAGAAACTGGTGTGCGTGCCATGATGCCCCATGGTCCACTGCCTGTGACGCATAGCTCGCCACCGCACACGCTCGTGCCACCATCAGGGGGCAGACTGTGGAGAAGCCAGACTGCAGGGATCAACCAGAGATACGCATTGACACAGCATGGGAACGCGCGAGGGGCACGTGAGCTTGCTGACACTGAACACAACGCCAGTACAGAGCATGAGACGCATCAAGATCCCAATTCACGACTCCAAACAACTTGGGACAACTTGGAGCAGCTTGGAGCAGCTTGGACCAACTAGAGAAGTTTGAAGCGCCTGAGTGCAGATAGATACCTTCGCAATCTTCGAAGCTGGCTGCAGCAGAATGGTGAGTGCCTGCTCCCACATGGCCCTGGCCATCGATTCATGCCCTTTCTCAACCGCGGCAGAGGTGACCTTGTTCAGAAACTGGCCAAGAAAGGGAAATTGGAAGGGGATAACATCATTAGCAGCTCTTTGGCATGTTGTCAGCTCTCGTGCGAACAACCTACGAGGCTATGCACAAGGTCGGTGCGATCAAGATTGCCAGCAAATCGCTAGGTAGGGATACGCGCTATGGTGCATGGGTTGTAACCGGAATATCTATCTTCCTGGTGCCTTACCGCTATCAGTCTCCGCGCGTCACAAAACTCCACGCCGCTCTGAACCATCACCACCACCAGCTGCATGACTTGGGATGACGTCACTCCGAGCGCCTTTCCGTGGGGAAGCAGAGCCGTCAGAATCTGAGAGAGGCCGCGCACCAAAATCTGGCCGTTTCGTAACCGTTCATCCCCATCCTGCGCGCTGTGGAGTACAGAAGAGGAACAGGGAAGAGGCCGAGAGTTGAGGGGAAATGCGATAGACGGGTAAAGAACGTAACGAGCGTGAGGAGATACAGTAACGAGTTACCACTGAATGATCGACCGCGGTTGACCACGTGAAACTTAAATCTCCAAGCGCGGATCGTCGTGCAATGAAAAAAAAAATTCAGATCTTGTACGTCGGACCTGTCTCGATTGGCCTACCGTTTCTGTGCTCGTGCGTTGCACTCACCGCAGCCATGGAATTATCTTCGCCAAGAGATCTGGCAGACGCTTCAACCACAGTGTCGCGCGGCGTGTCGATTCCTGCGATTCCGCATTAACCGCAGGCAGAGAGGCAGCAGCAGCACCAGCGGTAATGACGTCGGCGATGCAAGATATCGAGTTAACGGAAGCACCAACGACCAGCGTCTTCAGCTCACTCGTGTCTTCCTGGTTCGGCGGTCTCAAGGCAAGAACGACGTCGTTGTCACAGTTGTTGAGGTCACCGACTGTCGTCCTGCGAGGTTTCCCTTGGGCATGAGACGACGGTGGATCACCGAGGATCACGCGAAACGAAGTGTTTCCTTCAAGAATGCACGCCATGGACTGCAAAAAAGTCCAGCCTTCTTCTGCTCCATCCTGCGGAAGTTTTAGGGTTAGCAGTCGGTGGACGAGGGCGTTGCGATTCCGCTCGTTCTGGTATCCTGAGCTGCTCGTCAAAGCGTTCCGGAGAATGTGAAACGCGTGTATCGAAACTCGTGCTACGTCCAGCCAGACATAAACTCGCTCGCGCAACTGCCCAGAGACGGGAGAGGACGGTGCGCATTGAGAAGTCTGTGGATCACTCTTGCTGCTAGCACTTGTTGCTGCGCTGGACAGCCGAGCGAGGGATATCTTGGTAGTCTGTACGAGAAACGGAAGAAACCGCTTCGTCAGCGTTCGTAACTGCGCATCGGTGGCAGCAAGCGGCTGACATAGATCAGGCAGTGGCTTTACGTAGTCGCGCAGGTCAGTAGCAAGGTTAGCGAGTTGGTCCGAGTTCAGCTTCTCGAGCAAAGAAGCTCCTTTGGAATCCATCTAAGCGTGCGGTTGGACGTTAGCTCATGAGACTTGTAGGCCAATCATACTATTAGGACTCGTAATGGAGAGGTTGATGAGTCCACAGGTGGAACGGAAGTATCTAAAGTCACGGCGAGATGATCAGCTTTGCGGTGTGGGGTGAAAGAGATGGAGTGAGTGGGGCAGGAGGAGAAATGGAGAACCAAGGGTAGCAGAGCAGAGCAGCCTTCAGCCAAAGCCAAAATCGATGGTGTCTGCTTAGTTGAAAATGCTGTCGCTGTAAGCAAGCACCATCCTCATCTCATCCAAACCATCCCATCCTTCGTCAACAACACCCAGAGTAACGAAACGCGCAGACCTTCACGCAGTTTCCCGCCATTCTTTTAAACCTCTGACAAACGCTTCGTGTTGCAGTAGGACACTTGACTCAAGCCTCGCATGCTGCTGCTACGTGTTGGTCCATACCCGTTTTTAGGGGAAAAACTTCACTACACCTGCTTAGACTGCATTGCTACAATACACGTACATTCCAAAAAACGTGGGTGCATCAACCAATAAAATTCACATTCTTATCAAGTAACGCCTCTGACACAACTGTTGGGTGCTACTTCCAGAAAAAAAGAGCCCCAAGCAATACGAACACTCCTGATAGAATGTAGCATGCCATAATGCCATGGACGCAAAGAAACTTCCGAACACCTTGAACCACTGAAACCTCGGGGGCTTTATCTACCACACATTGAAAATTCTCATAGCGAACAATGTGGGCGAGTTCTAGGCGAAGCCTGTCAGGCAGTCCCTCTTTATCTGCATCCACAGCACATGCGTTAGGTCTTGCCAAATGAGAAGGAAACATCAAGGTACGCACCCATCATGGCCTTCGCACAATCAACGAATTTGAATGCCTCAACAACATGCGATGCAAACGAGATCTTGATAATTTCCTGCACTTCAACCTCCAGGATTGCCTGCCAAGTTTCCACACAGCCATCAGGAATAGGATTCAGCCACGAGTGCAGGTGGAGGTAAGGAAGGAACATACCCTTTCCGACCACAGAGAGAACGACTGAATGCTTTCCTGAACAGCTCCCTGCTCGATTGCCGGCCGAAGAACCGTTTTCTTTGAGAATATGGTGGTTTGAGACAATCTGACCACGGATGATGCTCCATTATCACACAACTGAACTTCCCACAGCATCTGAAAGAAAACATGGTCAATACTTGGTAAGGGCATATGTGTACAGGGGGAGAGAGCTGAATACCTTAAGTGAAAAGTAGTCACCCAATGGAAGCTTTGGCATGCACTGCACTGAAACAATACTGAAACTGCCATCGGCCTCTCTCTGAAGATGCTGCACAACTTCACAGTTCGTCGACTTTGGTCCCAAAAAATAGTCAATGGGATGTTGAAACGAAATGCAACGGGTCCACGAGGTAGAGCCTTCTTCTGATGACCATCGTGAGCATTGGAAACCTGTTCAATGCACAGCTAATAATTAAACCTGGATTGCGAACCAGCCAAAACATCAGAATCGTTGCCTTACTTTTGTCTCCTTGGGAGGTGTGAAAACGCTCCAAAAAGAGAATTGCGTCATCCGAGAACAAAGAGTTAAACACTTCTTCCACACTTGCCTGACAAAAATCAACGACCACATGTCAGGTTATAGGGAAAACAGAAGACAAGCGGAACAAAAGCATCGACATACCTGAAATTTCTTTTCACCAATAAACTTCAACTTGGATGCGGGTCCAGTGGGAGAGCTACAATTGTTGCAGAAAGGTTCTTCGTTGTTATTAAGTGCACCTGCACCCTGCTGCTCAGTGAACACGCAGCTCGACAGGTCCATGCATCCAGAGCTCATGGCCATGTCAGTTAGAGACAGCGAGCGACATCTTGACCTCCTGGTGCCCTCAGGCACAAAGCTTGCTTCTCCTGGAACGCTGCAATCGGCGAAGTGATGTAAGGAAGCAGCACCGCTGTAAAAAGAACATGATGTAGGACACTGACAGGTCTGAAAAACTCTCGCTGCGGGTCAAGTGGTCAACATTGTAGAGGCCTTTGTGCTGGACGACCTGCGCAATCAGTTTCGCATGTTACGGGAGCATCCGGCCAGGTTCACAGGGAAAATTACAGCTGAGCTTGATGCTCCCAAACCAACTTGCCAGCCTTACAGAATCCCTAGACTTGTTCCATAGCTCAAGAAGCAGCTTCAGGGCACGTTCCTTGTGCTGGAAGCATACGAACGTATACTGGAAAGCGCCAACAATAGTCAGAAACAGAGATTTCTTTTCAAGCAAGACAGCAAAAAGGGTACCTTCTTCTCATTTTTCAAATGGCATTCAATGCCGCCGACAAATCCAGCAAGTTTGGCCTTGCGGACTACTGTCACGTCTTTGAAGTTCAATGCAATCTGGAGAAGAATATGGAAGCGTTAGCTGAAGTGATGTTTCGAAGACGCGCATTTGTGAGCCTACCGTGACAATGCCATTGAGATGGTGCCCACGAAAATAAGCTTCACCCTCAAAAAGATAAAGGCGACCCTGGAAGGCAAAATTATGTTGAAATGAAATGTCACCAGAATCACATGAGCTGCTACCATGTACCTGGACGAGCACTTTCCGATGCATGAAACATCCAAATGCGGAGTGGAAGACCTGAAACATGGAAGGCGGCATTCAGTGACAAAAAAAGCGACGAGAAATTAAAGTTGCTCTTTGGCTGGCGACTACTAGTGGTCTATCCCACCTGATCCTTGTCGAGACCAAATAATGACCACGGTTCAGGCTGGCGTGGAACGCTTTTGAGAACCTAGACGAGTGAGAACCAGGACACGGATGGGGTTAGAGGTTTCGCGCAACCCTGACACAGCCATACAGTATAATAAGAGGTTTTGACCGCGTCCGGATACGCGCTTTAGGTTTGTCCTGCGAAAATACCTGCTTCCCGGACGTTTCCAGCTCACACTCGTCGGATGGAAGGACGCTTGCTGAGCTTGACCTCCTCAACAATCCTTGTAGATGGCATTCCATTTCGTCGTGGCGTTCCGTTTCAGATCACAAATGGCAAGTGAGTCGCCGGGCTGTAATAGATGTCAATATCGCTTGACGCGATAAGGAGAGAGGGAGTGCCCCTAGCCGCTGCACTTGCAACCCCCGAAATTCGGATGGAAGGGACTTGCCTCAGTGCGGCTCAGTTCATGCTGGCTTCTATGCGGTAGGGTGCGGTTCTAGGCTTTCATGGCAGGGTACACTTTGAGACATAATTACAAAATCCCACAAGAGAACGTATCATAACCTTCATCAACAATGATACGACAATGATAAATGGAATACTAAGCGATACGATACAATTCATCATCTTTCATATACATATTTGGTAACCCTCCTGCGCCTACACTTATTTCTGCCCCACATGTTCTGCCTTCCCTCGCTTTCCCCATATAACATGTACTCTTGTTCCCCACACATCGACCTTCTTCCCCTCCTCTGCAAACCCAGTCGCATACACATCCAAGTGCCTTAGTGCCTTGGCGTGCCTAAGCGAATCCGGTAGAGTCTTGAGCGCCACGCATCCTCGCAACAAAAGCACTTCTAAGCAATGCATCATGCTCATCTGGGAGGGGAGGGAGTGCAGTTTCTTGAAAAAGCTGAAGCATGCAACTCGGAGGGAAAGCAGGGAGGGGGAGGCCGGAAGGTGGGTGAAGGTGTCAACTAGTAAGAATGACTGATACAAGTGGTACAAGGGGGAATATATGTGTTTTGGTAATACCCTCTAACAACATACAACTATTTAGCCTATGACTTCTACATAGCATCATATGTATAAGTTGACACACCCCCTAGGTTAAATTAGGGGAAGTGCAAAGCAAAAAACACACAGCTCAGGATGGCACTACTAGTCCAACCTCTGAGGCAAGGATCCAAAGACCAGTTAGCAAGGGTACAAACAAGACAAGAGCAAACCAGTCCGACCACTGGAAGAGTAGCCACAAGGCCAGCCTGAAAGGTATAAATATAGAGGAGTACACAATCAAGGTCCTAGCAAGTGAGAGTCTACACGAACTCGACCTAGCTGCAAGCAGTGCCGCTGATGATCTTTAGGCGCAAGCACTTTAGTCAAGATATCAGCTGTGTTGGCACCAGAGGCCAAGTGTACTACGCGGGCCTGGCGACGCTGCTGTAGCTCGCACATGAGAAAGTACCGCAACTGAATGTGCTTCGCTCTGCCCTCCAGTCGAGGCTCCTGACACAGGAGGATCATGGCCCTGTTGTAAGCGTATAGAACCGGGGCAGAGCTAGGCCGCTCACCTAAGTCGGCAAGCAAGAAGGTCAGCCAGCGGAGCTCCTGTGCTGCCATGGCACCAGTGCAGTTCTCAGCCTCACAGCTAGACTTGGCAACAGACGAGAAGCGAGTGGACCTCCACGAGATGGCACATGAACCAAGGCTAAAACAGTAGCCCTGGGAGGACCTGAGGGTCTCAGCGTCGTCTGCCCAAGAAGCGTCTGTGTGCCCAGTAAGGACCACTGGCCTGCGTCCTCCCAGCACTAGCCCCATGCCCGATGTACTTGCAAGATAACACAAAACCCTCTTAGCGACCGACCAGTGCTGTGGTCGGTGTCTGCCTCTGGCCACAAAGCGAGCCATGATGCTGAGAGGGTATGCAAGATCTGGACGAGTGCAAGTCATTAGGTACATGAGGCAACCCACAAGCTCTGCGTAAGGACCGCTGGGCTCTGCAGACTCCTCGGGAACTGGAGCTGAGAGCATGTGGTCTACTGGCAGACGTGTGTGCTGTGCCGAGGAGAACTGAAGACCGAACCTCTGAAGGACTTGGCGCACCAAGTGTGACTGTGTAAGAGTGATGGTGCACGCTGCTCTGTCCCTGGAGATCTGCAGGCCAAGGTAGCGGCGCAACTCTCCTAGGTTAGTGCAGGTGTGTCTCCTCAGCAGCTCAGCCTTCATGGAGGCTAGAGCGTCTCTGTCTGCAGTAGCAAAGACCAGGTCCTCTACGTAGACAAGAATGTGGAACGGAGTCTGGCCAGCAGGAACGAAGCGAAGGGTCTCCAGAGGACGGAAAGAACTGCAGGCCAGCTAGCGTAGCACGCAGCGTGTCGTGCCACTCACGGGGCGCCTGTCACAGGCCGTAGACCGGGCGCCGGAGGAGCCACTGGGTCCGAGGAGGGAAGGTACTGGTGAAGCCCTGAGGACGACGCAGGTAGACCTGCTCGTGTAGGCTGCCCTGAAGAAAAGCAGTGGAGAAGTTGAGGGAGTGGAGCTCGTAGTCACGCTGAGCTGCTACGTGTAGCAGCGCCCAAAGAGTAGTCATCTTCTGGGTCGAGGCGAAGGCCTGAAAGAAGACCACCCCCTCTCGCTGACTGAAGCCTCTAGCCACATAGCGCGCCTTGAACACATGCGGCTCTCTTGGGGGCCGCTTCAACTTGAAGAGCCACCGAACATCGACTACGTTCACCCCAGGTGGGGGAACTGCGTCGATGTAGGTGCCTGTGGGTCTCCAAGATGCAATCTCCTGCTCCATGGCAGCTATCCACTGAGAGGCCCAGGGTCCCGATGTCGCCTCAGCATAGGTGCGAGGGGCCGGGATGTCAAAGGCATCTGCGTCACCCTTAGGGACTAGCAGCATGGAACAGAGATGGGGAGCAGCCTCGGACAGGAAAGCAAGCTCGTACTGCCTGTCCTCTAGGACGTCATTGCCAAGGGCAGGAGCACCTCTGACGGACGGAGAACGGGCAGGGTCAGAGAGACCAGAGCAGTGGCGTAGTCAAGGCAGCGGACAGAGGCAAAGTCAGCGACAGCAGCGCGTCAAGACTCGAGACAGGAACAGAGGGGTCGGTAACGAGGGAGGCAAGGACCCGAGAGACATGAGGAGAAGCAGCACGAAGGTAGTTAGACAGAGGGGGAGGCGCGACAGCGAGCGACAACGAAGGAGGCGAAGGCAGGAGGGGAGGACGTGACGCGTGGGAACAAAGCAACATGGGGTGCGAATGCTGAACAGAAGAGACAGGACGAGCATGAGAGGGACGGCAAGACCAGATGTGAGATGGAGGCGTCGGGTCAGGAGACAGAGGAGGAGAAACAAGAGGAGAACGAGGTGGGAAACGGGTCGGAGACGAGTACGGTGGAGGAAACACAGGACCGTGGACAGGAAGAGGAGAAGGCGGGGGAGAGCGGTCGGGGGAGGGAAGGCCGAGCAGGCGAAGGGCGGACACCGGCGGCGACTGCGGCTGCTGCTGCTCGACGCGGATACCTGGACCACTAGCTGCACCACAGTCTCCTCCATAACACTCCACTCCAGCACCCCCCGAAGAAGCACCCCCAGAGTGAGAACCCTCTCCAGCACCTGTGCCACCCTTGAGCCCGCCGGGGAAAGCCTCGACAGGAACCCCAGGACTAGCACCCTCCGATATGCCAGCATCCCCAGAGTCCACGAACGGCTGCGGCTGTTGCGACGGCGATGATTGCTGCGGCAGCGGTGGCGGGTGCTGCAGCGGCGAGGGCGACGGGGGAGGAGGAGACACCTGGGGAAGGACAAGCGACGCAAATTGCTCCGCGGGGCTACCAGAGTCAGCCGACTCCTCGACCGAGGCTCCCGACGGGAGGGGAGTGACGTGAGACACACCAGACGGTGCAGGACGGGGAGGGAGGGGAGCAGGGGCGACCAGGGGAATGGGAACCAGAAACAGGGGAGGGGAAACCAAGAGACCTCGGTGGGGAAAGCGGTGGTAAAAGGAGACAGACTAGTCAAAAGTGGCGCCACGGGAGTGAAAGAAGTGGTGAGACAGCGGGTGGTAAAAGTGCCAGTCAGACGAGTCAAGGAGGAAACTGAGGAAGACACAGGGGACTGTGGGGGCAGTGAGCTTGTCTGTGCTGGAGGCACGAACGTGAGCAAGGCAGCCCCAGACGTGGAACACAAACACGTCACTAGGGAACCCGATCCAAAGAAGGGTCGGCGAAACCTACGGCCGCTGGGAGCGTGGCCATATGTTAAGCTGGTGAGTGGCGTAGCGAACGGCGAACGGCCACAGAAAATGGGGTGCACCGGCATGGATCAAGGAGGTACGAGCCACCTCCATGACCAAACCGATGCGTCGCTCAGCAACCCCATTCTGCTGCGGGGAGTCCGGCAGGGTGTACGTGTGGGTGATGCCCTCCGCACGACAGAACTGACCAAGTCGACCAGAGGCGAACTCGCCGCCACGGTCGGAGTGGAGACACAGCACAAGGAGACCGCAGTGGAGAAGGTAGCGCGTCGGGATAAGAACGTGCTCGTCGGGTCTAGCGAGGTGCAGCGGTAGGGCAAAGCGAGAAAGAGTGAGGAGCATGGCGCAACCGGCCCTCGACGCAGGGCGCGCACGGCGGCGCAGGCGAGGGAGGGAGGGCAGGGAGCGACGCTGGAAGGCCTAGGACGAGACCATGCTGAAACATGTGACGCAGACACGGGAGCGCGGGCTGACCTAGGCGGTGGTGCCACAGAAGTGACAGGTGAGTGAGCGACCGACACGAGCAAGCCGCTGCAACGGTGGTAGACGCAGGACCCGGAGAGGATGCGGCCACCGGGGGGGGAGCAGTGTCCAGCATAAACAGGCCAGACACCGGGTCCCGGGGAAACATCGCAAGGGGTCACCTGAGGCGCTTTCGGTACAGACAGTATATCGCTCGTGACGAGGGAACGTAGTGGTGACGCCGAGGTTCTGAAGACAGCCGACACCAACTAAGTTCCTGGAGAATGAAGGGATATGCAGGCTTGTAAGGGAACTCGAGGGAACCGCCGCACAGGGAAGGGTAGTGCAGCTCCGAGCAACCACAGGACAAGTGGAGGGGTCAGCAAGTGCGAATGCGGCAGGCGCGGCAAGCGGCGTGAGGGTGGCGTTGTCGCGGAAGAAGCAGGCTGATGACCGGAGTCAAGCGTGCAGGATAGCAAAGCCGTAGTGGAAGATGAAAGAGGAGCAAGTGTAGAGCCTGGGCTAAACAAGGCAAACGGTCCTACGCCTGACGCAGCAGGGGAGTTTGGACTATGCACAGGAGCTACGCCTAAGCTAGTGAACATAGGGTAA